CGTTCCGACACCCAGAAATACCCTTATTCCTTTATTAAATTTACGAAAATGCCATCAATAATTACGAAAAATGCCATCTTTTTTAAAAAAAACTGGGTGTTACAGGGAAGGTATTCAGCACCCTTACAATGCCCTCAATCGGTACCCTATGATGAAGTTAATGTGATAAGAAATAATAAATTATATATTAGATCCCCTTTATGAATTACTATTTACATGTTTGAAATTTAAATTACACGGTTGACCTTAAAACGTCTACATGATTGCTTTTGTTATAACAATGTATATTAAAAATAAGAAATAAAAGAGAGAGAATAAGATTAAATGAAATACCTCGTGGCAAGCTTTGTTAGATCTTCAGATATGGAAAATCCAGGTACTTTGTGGCAACCTTTCACACTACGATTGCCTCACAATACTCAAGAAATACAATAGGGGAGAGAGAGAGAAATTTCGAGCTCTAAAGAATCCTTGACAAAATTTTTGGAGCCTTGAGAATTGTGCCCAAGCTGTCTATTTATAGGCATCAGAAGGGTTTCCAGAACGGCCCGTTCTGGATCCGAACGTTATGTGTTAATCACGCACCTAGGAACGACCCGTTCTAAACTGAGAATAGCTCGTTCCGGAGTTGAGATTAACATTATGTTCCCTTGCTTAGAACAACCTGTTCCAAACTAGGTTTTTAGGCCTTTTGATTTGTTTGGAACGGCCCGTTCTCGTTCCAACTAAGAGTCTTTAAGCCTTTTAGGTGGCTCAGAACAGCCCGTTCCAATTTAGGAACGACTCATTCCAGATTCAGGAACGACCTGTTCCAGTTTTGGAACAACCCGTTCTGGGCCACTAAAACTAGTTGTTTTGGGCTTTTGGCCCTCTGATGTCCTGTCTTGTTTTTTTCCTGCTTTGGGAGTTCCTTTTCTTGATAATAGACATCCATTTCTTTGTTTGTATGCCCCAGACGAAATTGGGTGTCTACAGCTGCCCCTCTTTACTTGTCCTTTGGAATAACTATGTGTTTATTTTCCAAAGGCAAGTAAAGTCGTAGACATTTTGTCCGGGTCTTCTCTTTGTCTCTTTGTGTGACGCTTATACGTTGCTTCCCTTGGATAGGTGTATTTTCTCGTATCATTACCTTTTAGAGCAGCTGAGTGTTGGGTTGCATACTCTATGGGTAACAAGGGAGACAAACTATACACCTGATCTTCAGTCTTCGAGTAGATGCTCCATTGTTTTTCTTGTGATAGTGAGGCAAAAATTCAAAACATCTAGGCTTCTGGTCTTGATGTAGATGCTTCCTGTTGCTTGTGCTTGTATCATGTAGTGAATTCTTTTATTTGTGAGCTTGTTAAAGAGGGAGTATATTTTGAGCTTAGCCTCTCCAAGCTAGATTGACATTTAGGGCTTCAGCCGGCCCACTGGTGGGAGCTCAACGGCGGTCCCGATTTTGACTTCGAGGAACTCGGCGGTACCCTTGTTGTCATTCACTGATTTGAGAGGCTCGACGGCGGCTCTCGATCAAGCTGGACTGATTTTAAGGCTTCAGCCGGCCTATGGTGGGAGCTCGACGGCAGTCCCAATTTTGACTTTGAGGAACTCGGCGGTACCCTCGTTGTCGTTCACTAATTTGAGAGGCTCGACGGCGGCTACAAGGAAATGAAACTGAGTTTTTTCAAAATAATTTAATAAAAATAACATCCTAATCTAATCCTATTTATGCCCCGATGTCACATGTCCTATCAGAGAAAATCCCAACGTAGAAGCCTAAATTTCATCACCAACATCCTCAACCTCATGCTGATAATAACCTGTATGACAGTTAGAGAAAACAACACAAGAGAAAAGGGAGTTAGAAACATCTCACTCTGGCTCACAGTGTAGAAATACACACCGAATAACCAAACACAAACAAGACAGATATAACATAAATATATTAACAACAACATTACATCTCACTCATCCCAGACATAAAGGTATCAATTTATCATATAACATTAAAAATGCACATGTATGGACACAGACTACATAAACTACAAGAAAATGATGATTTTGCGATA